ATCAGCTTACGCACAGCATCAACGTTTTCTTGGGTGACTGCAGTTTTTGGACGACCTTGACGGGGATCATCACTGAGCTTGACACGTCCACGTTGAAACTCAGCAAACCAGCGATAAATTGTGGTTTTGGATGGGGCTTCATCACCAAATGCAGAAATCATCCGGTCAACACACTGTTTTTGTGTTAAACCACTTCGAAAGTCATAATAAATCATCGCTCTTGAATTTTCTCGAGTCAATTCCATTTTCTCAACGACTAAACAAGTTTGACAAAACCTCGTGACAAGACCGAGAATCTTTTTTTAAATAAATAAATGGTATTCGATTTTTAAAACCAAGGAGTTTTCAATTAAAAAGATTTTAATATGACAGGAACAGTGGAAATATTCCATTCCTGATACTTTTAGTGCAGCCTTTGTAAGCAGCTAATATGGTTGATCCTTTTTTAAGATTCAGAAACTGAGGCGCTTCATTCAATATCTGTCTGAATTGCTCTTTATTGAAACCAACTCAATGGTAAAAAATATGGTCTTCCATAGACTCAATATTTTCAAAATCAAAAAAATGACAATCACTCTTTTAAAGAAAACATATCTTGAATTTGATTAGCACTAAATGTGTTGATAATATTATCACTAATGTCGCTGATAAAGTTCCACGATGTGCATGTCAAATGAATATCACAAAGGCGATTATTTGCAGGTACATAATAGTTATACATTTTTAGTAACTGTTTTCGCATTGTAAGTGTTATTCTATTTCTTTCATGTCCCTGACACCCTTCCACAAAACACCTACTTTCAGTTTCAACAGCTCTATAATAATCTGGTAAGACAATAAGATTTCCAATAATAGGTGCACTTAGTGCAGAATAAGTTCCTTGTGTTGTTGGAAGTTCTTCTAAATGAGGAATGTCTTGACTATTTAGCTCATTGACAACCAATGAAGATGAACCAGATGTTGAGGGGCCTGAATGGAAATTCCGGGATGCTTTATTTGCTTGTACCCAACAAGAGTGACAGATAACACTTGAAGCACCCACCTGAAAATAGTATACCTACATTAAAGGGTACCTTTACACAAGAGATGTATTATTAAACACTTTGAAAAAAAAAAACTGATCTAAAGATATCCTGATCTATATCCTGTTTAATTCACTTTAATGTTTTAGATTGTCAAATAACATTTTAATGCCCTTCAGAACTAAAACAATGGTATTATTAAATCATGATTAGGACTAATATACTAACTGTGCGTGGTAGGATCCATTCTCTTATAACTTCGTGTATTCTGCGTTCTTGCACTTCACCGGTCCTTAGTTGATGGCAACGAACTCTTCTCAGAAGAGAACGGCCACAGTGAATACACACTCGCCGGTGTCCTATTGAAGGTGCCCGCACACTCTCTTCTGATATACTTTTATCAAGAGATATAGCATTGGCATGTTTCCAGCAAGCTTGGCAGATAAAATCATTATCATTTACCTGAAGCAAACATGAATTATTTGACTATTAAGTCTATCACTAACATATAGTAATAAATAACTAAGTGGCCCATGTGGATAAACAGCCTTATTACATTCCCACTGCAGGGACACAGGCCTCTTCTCCGAGCGAGCGAATAGGTCGTAATTAACCATGCAGGTTCAGTCCGGATTGGGGATGTCACTCAATATCTTTGAATATGAATTTGTTGCACATCCAGGTACCTATCATTTCATAAAATACAACTACGTATTAACTATGCGATAACACTATTCAATTGGATTACATTAAATAATTATTTAGAACAAAAATGTAACGTTAAAGAAATATCGGATACTAACCGTTTGAGGCGCGACCCATTCCTGTACAATTGAAAGAATCATTTCATCTTCCAATCTTCGCCTTCCTATTGTATTGCAGCGGTCCGTTGCTATTCCGCAATTAGTGCACAGGCTCATGATATTGTTAAATAATAACTACAGGTCCGGTTTTCCAACAAAGTTCAGCGGGGGTGCAGGGTACGGGGTCCACTGTTCAAGCGGGGTTCAATCAAAAGGCAGTCTTTTTTAATCATAAATCTCGATAAATAAGGAAAAACACAGTCACTTGCGCAGAAAAACGAAAAGCGAATGACCATAGATTATACACTTAATATATTCGAGACGAATGACAATATTATGACAATACCTCGAATATATTAAGTGTATAATCTATGGACAATACGAATTAAAAACCTGCTTGGGACTTTTTGGCGGGAACGCGAGGAGTGAAGTTGTGTGATTTGTTTTATTTTGTCTAATTAGTGTTTCTTCAGGTTTAAATGTGTAATAACGGTGGTTTATTAACTGTTTAATATCTGTGAAAGTGCACAAATGTGGGAAAATGAAACAAAGCCGCTGGACGTAACTTCTCGGGATCCTCCAAAAAGTCCACTGAGAAAATCTTAGTAAATGACTACCATTTTACTGAGACTATACTTCATCCCGTATCATCTCATTTAATTTCATCCCAGTTGATTAATGTCTCAAATTAATCGTTTTCATTTCACTCCATAATATCATTTTTCATAAAAATATGAATACAAATTAAAATAAGACATGACTTAAAGGTCTTAGTTACCAGGTCAAGAATTTAATGTTGTCAGTTGTAGATATTTTGAATTGCCGCCATTGTAAGTAGTTGTGTCACGATTCGATGGCCATACTCTATTTAAATTGATTATAATACCTATAAAAACAGTCATATTTTATCCTAAAATAACGGAGTATCATTTATTTTTAACACTATTGATTTCCACTAAATCGATCCTATTTTAGTGATGCTCTAATTCTAACCCGCACGTTTGTGGAGCTACATATGTATATTGAAATAAGTGTTGCAGAGGTTTATAAAGATTGTTTAAAACAAAAAATAGAATTCTATTTATTTTCTATACTTGGCCATTGCCAATGAAGCTAAGATTTTGTAGGGGAATGATACCCCGCCCCGCTTAGCTTACTATGCACTTATTGTGCATACAGTAATGAGCAGCATACGAGTCAGTCAGTGGTCAACGTGCAGCGATCCACCGCGGTCGCTGACGCGTATAAACATGTAATCATACTTAATGTTTTATCGACCACTCCGTCGAGGTTTCCGGAGGAGGACGCAATTAACAACCAACGCACACGCCTCCTCCTCCGTCTTCACCCAATAAAACTGATTCGCCCGACGTGATTTTCGCCCGACGTAATCGTGAAGCATATTTTTGGTGACGATGTATCCGGTTCAGCACGTGGGTGGCGTACCCTAAGCCCCGATGTGATTCGCCCGATGTGATCGTGAAGCATATTTTTGGTGACGATGTATCCGGCCCAGCACGTGGGTGGCGCACCGTAAGCCCCGACGTGATTCGCCCGACGTGATCGTGAAGCATATTTTTTGGTGACGATGTATCCGGCTCAGCACGTGGTGGCGCACTCATTGCGCAACCGCTTGTGGCATCTTTACCACGAAACGAAGAACTTCAGCTACCGCAATTTCCCACATTCTCGCAGTTAAAAACAAGTCATCGAAGTCGTCCCACAGCAAGCCAGCATTGCAGTCTCAACAATTTCAATAGATTAACCAAGCAAAATAGACGATTTTTTTGGTACATATCCCATTCGTGTAACGCTTAGGCCCAAAATGGGGTATCTCCTTTAAGCTCTCGTTTCTTAAAAAAATACGAACTTCTATATAAACTACTCTCATCTTAAATTAAATATATAAATTTAAATTCATCCAGTATTCAATCCCGAAAACATTAACTTCGTTCCGCATCAATTCACTTTCTTCACGTTACAAAGCTTAGAATAGTGGAGGGGAGCTCATTCCATAGCCGGATGATACGTGGCAAAAAAGTCCTCTGGAAACGCACTGTGGATGACCGCAGTGGCTCCAGGTAGTATGGATGAACTCTACTCCGGTGGCGGGCGGTGCGATGGTAAAAACGAGATGCCGGTATCATCTCGAACAATTCCTCAGAGCACTGTGCAGTGAACTAACGCGGCTTTAACCTGAGGACGTTGCTATCATAGCTAATACACCTAACACTAGCCCTAGCAAGAGCAGTGCGTCGCAGAATCTACAACAGGATTGGAAATGCGACCCACTGAGAAGAACCGGTGAGAAACTCAATGGGTTGTGTCTGAGGGCTAATTTACTCGGCGAACCCTTCGACGCAAGCGACGGACTCGACGTGAACGGTGCCTGGTACTTGTGATATCTAAAAGCACCGATAGTGAGTCAGAACCCGAAATGACGTGTTTTGGGCGACGTCGAATGTTTACTATTCGATCCGCAGGATCGGTTAAGTTAAGTTTAATGCCATCCAGATTGAAATACTGGGTCAGATACTCAACCTTAAGGTTGCGTCGAGAACAAACTGGCAAAGGAGTTACGATAATAGTGTGTGTTTTGGAGTTCATAGACAACATTATTGTGAATAAAGCCCTTTCTTGATTAACAAGATTGTTTTCATTTGTAATGAATAACGGCTGTCCTACCATTTGAATCGGAATAAGTAACTGCTTCACAGCAGATACATACAGGATGTGCGAATATGCGCCGGCTTATACTTCACCTTGTCACTAGAAAAAAAATGTATCTTTAGACTTTTTATTGAAATTACATTCCGGTTCAGTGGTAAAGTCTTATTTATTCGAAGGTACGTGTAAAATGTCTAGTTGAACATGATTTATAGATTTTTCTTTTCATACAAGACCTACCAGATCAGTACCTACTTGCACAGCTAGAGCCTAGATAGTTACGACTTAAAGAGTTATGTAGCTAAAAGTTGCTAAAGCAACATCGATTATCTCGTACTACCATAGTTTGGGGCTTACGACAAAGGGAAGATCTCCCACCGAGCGGGTGATATTTGCTCGGTAGACCGACGGTCCGAACGTTGTTGTTCGGAACTTGTATATATGCGCTTTATCTTGAAAATGTCGTAAGCGAGATTCAGGCATTTGTCAATTATCTTGCGTTGTATGATGGCTACCCGCCACAATAGTATCCCATCCGTATTGTATCTAGATATGCCGTGGTATTAGTACGGATTAGTAGGATACTGCATCACAACAGAAGCATTATTTTGTAGTTTATCAACTAATATTTGAACCATAGAGGCTTATTGCATTTGGCTCAATTTAGTCGACTGAATTCAGAAGCAAATTTAGAAGATTCTGATTAAACTGTTCTAAATTCAGGTATTGAATCAATTTTCAGTTTAAACGCGACAAAGTAAGACGTGTCGTGTACATAAGAGGATAGCCCCAGTATTGTCTAGACAACAACAAATTTTTTGTTTTTTTGTTTTAGTTTTTTGGTTACCTTTCTCAAAAAAAAAAACAAGAATCTCGATGAAGAACTATTTATTGCTGTGCGGAATGTTAGCAAATATGAACATTATGAGTGATTTAGAACCAGCAGACTTAAGAAATTATCTACAAATGGATTCGATCTCGTTTGACCTAATATTAAACCTTGTTTTTGGTGTTTGTGACACCGTTTTTCAAAAGCAGGATACTATCCTACGATAGCCTAATAAATATCTATTATATAACTATTACATATCTAATCCTACGATAGTATAAGTCCAAAAGAAAGATTGTTTGTAACATTAAGATTTCTTGCAACAGGAAATTCGTATCAAGGTTTAAAATTTAGTTCTTCAATATCCCAACCCCTGGTGACAAAAACTATCCTTGAAACATGTCGGGCTATTTACAAATGTCTAGCACATTAATACTTTTTATTCGGAAGCAAAAAACAAAACTAAAACGTCCTTAAGCACGGAGAGCTATGGGACGACTGAATGAAAGCATTCAGTAACTAAATGCGATTACATCTTCTTAAATGCGTTTCTAATTAGACTTCTAAATGATTCAGTCAGTCAGAAACCATCCTTGCTACTGAATTCAGTAGACTAACTTACTTAATGCTATTATACTTGACTGATTCTAGAAGCGACTGCAATCAGTCGTCTGAATTCAGCCAAGTGTAATAAGCCTATTATCAACAATGAAGTAGGAAACCTATGGAAATGAAACGTCAACAAAAATTTCGTGCCACTGTGACGCAATGTCTATGCTGTGACGTCATCTGGCCACAAAACATGGCGGCTTTAGTGCTGTACAAAAGATTTCAATGTTATCAGGTTTTATCGATAAACGTTCTTGGCTCATTTTATTTTAAATATTGTTGAGTATTATTTATTTGTAGAATTTATACTTTAATGGGAAGTAAGTAGGTATATTGTTATGTGCAAATATGATATGATTTAGATGGGTGAAATCTAAGACAAGTTCGTCCTTCGAATTTGCCAAGTAAACGATATGATGATTTTTAAAAGTTGCTACACTGATTTTATAAAGTTGTCGTTTGTCGCAAAACATAAAGATATGGCGTAGTTCAAAGCCATCAGCCCATTTCTAGCATGCTAAATGTTATCGTATTTTGAGTACGTGTTTTTCTTAGACTATTACAATCTATTTTAATTGTTTTGCTGACTCTAAAGTCCGTAACATACTACCGCAGCGCACCCCAAGGAAGGTGCGCCGCACCATTTGAATCACTTTCGCTTGAGAGTGATTCAAATTTTAAACTTATCAAGGGACCGCGTGAAAAAAAAAACACCTACAGAACATTTATTCATTAATTACAAACGTCATTCCTTGTGACTTCCTCTCTAAAATCACTTAATTATTAAATATTTAACAAATTTACAATAGTGTTTTACTCACTGCGGAATAAAACTATTTTATTTAAATAGTTCCGAAGAGATTTTGTCGGTAGCCTTTTTCCCGAAATATCTAAACAGAATGTCTAAATATGTTTTGATGACATATTTTAAAGTGGTATTTATGATTAGTGTCATGATCAATAGATTCCGACCGAAAAATGGATTTTTCGGATGAGGGCTCCATAATGAATTTAAATACATATAGATAATAGTTTTAGGGCATCGACTTTCTTGAGATCCTATAAAATACGTTTTAATTATTATTTTTGTATGTTTTAAGCATGATAAATTATGAAATTTTATATAATCAATCATATTAAATCGATATCAAAGTCAATAAATAATGTACAACCCAAAACAGACGGCCGAACTGACGTGACAATGACATTTGGCGCGCTAAACATGGCGGATTTTCGGCCTCATTAGACGGAGACGGAGATATTTACGTATATTCATGTTTCATTTTATGTACGCACTGAAATACTGTTATATTGTTTTCCTGCGAGTTAAAGTGCTGAGTAAGAACGAGATAGATATATGTTTATGTATGTGCCTTCAAAATGGGTGCTATTTATATAAGCAATTGTACGTATAGAACAATATGTCGTGTCCCTACTATATAGGTCTATGATTATCAAGGAAATTCATTCTGGCAGCACTGATTCGCGCAGTGTTTTGACTTTTTGACAGCTGTATTTTGTAATTCGGAAATCACCGACTAAAGTAGTTTTTAGAAAATAACAAAAATCATGTTCGTCGGCGATTGATAACAGAAAAACATATCCAAAAAACATTAGAAATATAGTTATTTTTCATTTTACAATTTTGAGCTGAAGTGTTATTTCGAGACGATATTAAATTATTAATTAAAGTAAATAAAATATTAACAATTTTTTAAATTTATTTTAAATTTTCAAATTCAGAATGGACGAAGAACAAACTAAATTATGTCCGAATTGGTGAGTATACAATGAAAAATGTGTACTCCGTCTTAAGATTATGTTCTATTTTCGCTTACATGCGTTAGCGGTTTATTTATAGAATAATTTGGAACACGAACTTCATGCGCTTACTTTGCGAGAGCGGCTGTTTACCTCTCTTGAAAATAATTGCACAATTAAATTAATTGCGATTTTCTTAATTCAAATTTAGAGAGATCGCTTGAATCTATTTATTATCTGCCAAATACCCTCTTTCTTTGACATGGACATCAGAATCAGAATTTGAATGCGAAAAAAACCTACCATATTTATTTTGAATATTTGTTTTCAATTTTATTACATACTATTCGACGCAATTACAATTTTATTATGAATTATACAAATTATAATAGTCACAGTGCTGTGAAAAAAGATCAAAATTGTTATTTGAAACACAATTGATCAGAACTAGAAAATGGGTTTCATTTTTGTTACATCAACGGAAACTATTTGTATAACGATAAATAAAATCTGATATTAACTGGCTGCTGGATCTTATAGACATCACAGTGTGAATTCCACTATCCACTTTGAGAAAAAATATTTTTTTTTGCATATTTGATTTTTATTACATGAAATATTCTTTTATTAGGGAAGTCATTTGTTTTCAGGAGCTAAGAATGAGTTTAATTAAAAAAAATTTTTATTTTTTATTTTTTGTATTTTATTTTAAGTATTGTGTACTCAAAAATGACTGGGGAAATAGTGCATTAGACAAAATGTGACATACAACAAAATAATAACAGAATACTAACATTAATACCATACTAAACATACATTTTATTTTGAGACTAAATAAATAGACTAAGTAGAATAAGTAGATCTCAATATTGAGAAGTATTGTTGAGTATGTATGCTCCATGTTCCGTATGTTCCATGGGGAGTGCTCTGACGAATTGTTCGAGATGATACCTCGCTTTTAGCATCGCACCGCCCGCCACCGGAGTACAGTTCATCCATACTACCTGGAGCCACTACGTTCATCCACAGTGCGTTTTCAGAGATATTTTTTGCCACATACCATCCGGCTCCCCTCCACAATGTTTCCCGAGAGCTATGACATGTCCTTCTTCCAACGAGGCTTGTGGAGAGTATTAAGCGGTAGGCAGCGGCTTGGCTCTGCCCCTCGTATTGCTGACGTCCATGAGCGACGGTAACCACTCACCATCAGGTGGGCCGTATGCTCGTCTGCCTATAAGGCAATAAAAAAAAAGCTTAATAATGTTTTGAAAATGAGAGACATGAACACAAAATAATAACCCATCAATTTCTTTGATTTGTTTTAGTAAACGTGAAATTCCGAGTACAAACTTCACAATACATTCAGTACACTGTGCTCGGAACATAGGAGTCTGTCCTGTGTGCAAGGAGCCTGTACCATTAGCTGATCTGCAGAAGCATCATGATGAACTACATAAACAGCGTAGGGTTTATATATGTTTATTTAATAAATCTTTCTATTTAGTCTTTTTATACCAGGTCTCATTTCTCTGTATTGATTTATGTAAAATAGAGACAAAGACTAAATAATTCAGTCCATCTTTCATAAAACATACGTTGAGATCATAATATGCATTGAATTCTCATTTCCACTAGACTGAAATACGTGGTTCCATAATGAAACATTAGTATCTATTGGTATGGGTTCTCAATATGTGATAATTTTATTTATACCAGGTTGTGTTAAAGGCTAGAATGTGACGAAATGAAAATTCTGGACTGAGGATCAGAAAGTGTTAGGAGTAGGAGCAACAAAAAATCAGTAGTGGACATTTTATGAACAAAATTTCTCATAATTTTTTTATTTATTGCTTAGGTTGGACGAGCTCACGGCCCACCTGGTGTTAAGTGGTTACTGGAGCCCATAGACTTCTACAACGTAAATGCCGCCACCCATCTTAAGACATGAGTTCTAAGGCCTCAAGTGCAGTACCACGGCTGCCCCACCCTTCAAACCGAAAAGCATTACTGCTTCACGGCAGAAACAGGCAGGGTACCTATCTATCTGGTACTACTGATGCAGCCCCACAAGACGTCCTATCACCAGTAATTACACAAATTACAATTTTGCGGATTTGATTTTTATTACACGATGTTATTACTTCACTGTGGAAAGCAATCGTGAACATTTGTATGTATTTCATTAGAAAAATTGGTACACTTACTTGATTCGAACACCGGTGCATAACTTTACTACGTCTTTATCCTTTAGGCCACGACAACATTTTTAAAGTTTCTGTCCACATCAGTCATATTTCTTGGTTAACTGTCCAAATGACCTCGTAGACTGATTTACTAATCCCCTATATGTGTTAACTCTGTTCTGTAGCCATTACCTGTAAAGTAAATCAAATATTTGTGGGAATCAACAAACGTAAGATCTTCGACAAAGAATATGAAATTACCCCTTGTGGTCCAAATATTATTATTCAGAAATTTTGTATATGCAAACATATTTTCAAAATTACATCATCAAGATTTTAGATATCTGTTAACCACTGCCAGATATTGATGAATATTGCAATAACTTCACATAGTTTGATGAAGGCAAAACTATGTTTCAGTTCCGTGTAAGCAGTGTGGGGATAGTGTCTGCGGAACGGACTTGGAAGACCACATCAGAGACTCGTGTGCTCAAACCATCAAAACATGCAGGTGAATAACAATAAGCGTGCAAAGTTAATGCTTCTCAAAGTTTTAGAATCTTCATGTAAGTCAGCTGATTTTGATTGCATTACTTACCACAGTCTTGTTATGTTTAATGTAAGTGTAAAATATATTTAAAAAAATATATATTTCAATTTATTGATAAGAAACCATGACATAGAGAATAAAACAATTTTGGAATTGTCAATATAGGTTTTGTGAGTTGGAGTTGCCTCGTCGCGAGCTGCCGCCCCACGAGAACTACTGCGGCGTCCGCACCGAGCAGTGTCCCGACTGCAGGGAGTGGGTCATGATCAAATACAGGCAGCTGCATCTGGACTCCAACCACGGCTTCATCAGACTTGACGACGGTGAGGAACCACAACCGATACTGGTGTTGGTGGTAGGACCTCTTGTGAGTCCGCGCGGGTAGGTACCACCACCCTGCCTATTTCTGCCGTGAAGCAGTAATGCGTTTCGGTTTGAAGGGTGGGGCAGACGCTGTAACTATACTTGAGACCTTAGAACTTATATCTCAAGGTGAGTGGCGCATTTACGTTGTAGACGTTTATGGACTCCAGTAACCACATAACACCAGGTGGGCTGTGAGCTCGTCTACCCATCAAGGAAATAAAAAAAAAATTGAATTTTAGTTCAGTGAAGAATGATTTCTGATGGATATGAGTTCACGGCCTAGCTCTTGTTAAGTGATTATTGAAGCATATAGACATTGCATTAATTTAACTTACATTAATTTGAATGTGGGTGTTGGCATTTTGAATCATGAGTTTGAAGTTTCAATAGGATTGTTTCGCTGCAGAAGTAGGTAAAAGTAATAAAACGGTGGTACCAATTTGTTTGGGCTCAAACATACCATTCCACTATAACTATGCGCTATATTAATATATGCAAGAATTATCTGTAATTTGTCAGCAAAAGATGGATGGAGTTTTGATGACTTTTGTATAATAATGCTAACATTAATGTGGAATATAAGTTTACCATTTTTTTTATTGCTTAGTTGGGTGGGTGGACAAGCTCACAGCCTACCTGCTGTTAAATGGTTACTGGAGCCCATAGACATCTACAACGTAAATGCGCCACCCACATTGATATGGCGTATTCAGCACGGGTATGTACCTTCTAACATCGTATCATCGTGAAATCAACTCAAATCAAATTAAAAAAAAAATTCAACATAAATGAAAGTACATATTTGTTGAACGTCAAAAAGAACTACCGCCAATTCATAAAAACCAGCCTCCGTCCTGAGAAGAACTGGCAAGAAACTCAGCGGGCATGTCTTTTTTTTTAAATATTAGATTTGTTTTTTAATATTCATTTTTACAATGAGCATTATAACGTAACAATTATTGCAATATCGAAATGTCCGGAGCGAGCAACTCATTCCCACTTTGTGCAATCTTCTAGATATTCATTGACTTTATAGTAAGCTTTATTGTACAGATGTTCTTTAATAGTTTTCTTAAATCTATGTACCATCGTATCGGTCGGAGTGTTTCTGGCATGTCCACTGTGTCCACAGACCCTCCCCCTGCCTCGAGGCTATTGCCCAGGTTGCCCAGCACCAGGCCGAGCGCGGGTCCCGCCAACGGCGCCGCGCGGGTCTCCATATTCGACAACTACGTGAAGAACATTAATCTCGGCACCGGGGACTGCGAGAGCGCGGGACCAGTCCCCGGTGGCTCCGGGGCGAAGGCTCCCTTCAAGAGGAAAAACGATCAGCCTCAGATCAACACCACCGTGGAGACCACCAATAAAGTGTGGAAGGATCTGTACGTACTAATACGGTATCTTAGTTACACGATTCACTTAAACCAGCGGTCGGGGAACTTTTTTAATTATTACCCCAAAATATTTTTGTGTAAGTTGATATTACCTCATGGCGAAGAACAAAAAAAAAAAAAACGAAATCGCTTCTTTTTAGTATCATATTCATATTATAGCCCCCATGATAAATTTGAAAAGAAAACAATAACTAAAATTTTAACGGTTCTAAAGAAGTTTCACTTCAATATATACTTTTTACTCACAAAAGTTTCATTTTTACCCCCTCCCCCCAATTTCATTTTACCCCATTTGAGGTAATTTACCCCGGTTCCCCGATCGCTGATTTAAACAGAACAAAAGCGACTGAGAGAGAGTGAGCGCGCCGCACGCTTGGTTAGACAAGGACGCAACGTGCGGGCGCGTCCCCGCGGGGGGCCGCCACCCCGGGGACCGAACCTGTGTCCTATCGAAAAGCAGCTTGCACATCACTCGGACGGAAATGTAAATGTCAACCTCATCACTATTAAAACCACTGGTCGGTGACCGTGATCAGGTTTTAATTTGCTAACAGCCATTGGTTACTTGACTTTTTAGCCTATTTTTATTGTTCCAAAACAATCTTATCATGATCTTTTGAATCGTCGTGGAAGGATAAGACGTTTTCGTGTGTAGCGATGCACCGGTGTTTGAATCCCGCAGGCGGGTACCAATTTTTCTAATGAAATACGTACTTAACAAATGTTCACGATTGACTAACACGGTGAAGGAATAACATCGTGTAATAAAAATCAAACCCGCAAAATTATAATCTGCGTAATTACCGGTAGGACCTTTTGTGAGTTTGCACGGGTAGGTACCACCACCCCACCTGTTTCTGCCGTGAAGCAGTAATGCGTTTCGGTTTGAAATTCGGGGCAGCCGTTGTAACTATACTGAGATCTTAGAACTCATATCTCAAGGTGGATGGCGGCTATTACGTTGTAGATTTCTATGGGTTCTGGTAACCACTTGACACCAGGTGAGCTGTGAGATCGTCCACTCAACATACAAAAAAAATCCCTTTGTCGCGTTCCTGTCGCTTTTTGTCGTTGTTACTAACTGCAGTCCTGTCGTCGTCCCCAGCTCCATATCCCGGGGGGCAGTGAAGAAGCGTCCCGCGCCCGCGCCCCCCGCCCGCGTCGCCCCCCCGCCCGCGCCCCCCTACCTGTGCGCGGTGCAGAGACAGCAGCGCGAGCTGGCCGACAGGGAGGAACAGAACGCTATCAACTTCGCAGCCGGTAACTGCACTCACTACCGGACACTCCCGGACTCACCGGGCTGGTGATTGAACTCTATAGAAGAAGGGACTAAGCGAGCTGTCAAAGATGGCCGCCCCGCGTAAGGAGGCCGGCGTCAGCGAACGCGTGGGGTACTAAGGCTCCTCTCACAACAATTTCAAATCTTCAGTTATACAGTTTAATATTATGAGTTATGATTTACTGAATCAGCGCAAAATGAAATCACCTATGAAATCGCCTCATATAAAAATTACAACAACAAAAAAAAGGATAATAATTACAAATTAAATAATCAAACCAGCCCCATAACAGAACAGTAGATAAAGGACAAATATCTATTTTTAATAACTTTACTTATTCCTACCAAACGTATTTTACAGCTAACGCATATCTCCGTTCCCAGGGCTGCCCCCGGTGTCCAGCGCGGCTGCGAGAGTAGACAAATTGCGGGCCCTGGACGCTCTGCTCAACCGTGAGAATAACAACGTGGAGCTCCGCAACCGCGACCCCCGCCCCCGGCCCCCCGCCGCCTGTGCGTCCCCCGCCCCCTGCGCGCCCCCTGTCCCCTGCGCGCCCCCGGGCGTCAAGAACACGAACTCGTTCGTTTCGCACAACTTCAGTCCTAAACATTTGAATTTCGCGCAAACTTCAGCACCTCGACTGGAAAAACAATTGAACGTGTCTCGAAATACACCGGGCCCCCCGTCTGGCGACGCGGGCGGCTCTAGACCGCCACTCAGCCTTAACCTCCCCAGCGCCGGCCGCGGGCGGGGGCCGACCTCAAACGGCTTCACACCGAATGTACCTGCAGCGACGCACAAAGTCTCGAATGTGACCCAAACGATTCCAACAGCCGCAGCCGGTCCTTCGTGTCCCGTACCTGGGACGGCCCGCTATGTACCAGGCGCAACGTCCAACGGGTCACTAACGATCAAAAACACGAATTTAACCGGGAACGATCCGCTAGAAGTGGAGCGGAGGCGGCAAGAGTTCCAGGACCTCAAACCCATGACACCTGAGGAGTTCATGGAGAGATTCAAGAGGTTTCGCATGAGGGACGAAGAGAACGCGACCAAGAGCGAGGACAGGATGAGCGAGATCAAGTCCTCTCTGAGGGAGCTGCGGAGGGAGCTGAACGAGGTAAGGTCCCCGCATGAGACATCGCGTGTGTCCCCTGTCGCGAGGAGTGATAACTCAATGAACTTTCAGGTCACGGCGCCGTACAACGCGCCCCCCGCGCCCCCCGGCCTCGGGTGAGTGTGCTAGGGCTCCGGCGCGCCCAGGGTGCTCCGGGTGCTCCGCGACGTAGAACGGGACGCCAGCGGACAGAACCAGCTCGGCGCGCACTTGCGACACATTGTGCTACCTATATTGTCTTCGAACGGCTTTACTTAAAACCTGCACTAACTTATTTAAATTATTGTTTAACCTCAACGACGACACCAGTGAGTTGATGGCGACGAGTGACCGACCTTGTGCCCCCCTCGGTATGTCCCCTCCAGGACCCCCTGGAATAACACAATTAAGATATTGGCCTCACATCTCGTGCGAGGACGGCACTCGCGGCGTGCTGTCCACGGGCCTCAGTAGTCGTCCAACTCCGAAGTGGTCAGCGTGTCAAGGGAATAAAGAGAGTACCCAAAGGATTATCGAAGGTCAAAGCTCGTTAACAGAGTGCCCCACGCTACTCGGGGGGTCTGCCCCCCGGCGCCGTGGCACTGGGAGCTCAGTGTGCGCTGTCTGTATGTCCGCAGCGGCGCCGCCCCGCCCTCCCCCCCGCGCTCCCCCCCGCTGTCCCCCCCGGACGACGTGGAGCTGCCCTGCGAGTTCTGCGCGGCGCCGGTGCCTATGAACCAGCTCGTGCTGCACCAGGTCTGTACAGCTGCAACGTGTCCGGCCGACTGCTGCCACTGGGCCACAGCAGAGCCCGTCAATGCAGTACGGTATAAACTTAAACGGCCAATAGTGCGAAGTGTCCCTCCGGTGGCGGAGCACTGGTTCGTATCACGGCCTGCTCAAGGCGAGGAGGAGTCAGCACGACGCCCTCCGACACTGAGAAGCTCTAATGAGCAGCCCAGCTCACGGTCCACTGGGAGTTAAGTGGTCACAGCATCCCATAGAGATCATTGCAGGATTGCCGGTACCCATATCTTGACACACGAGGTCTAAGTCTCACTTGTGTTCCTCCAAAGCAAAGACAGGATGGAATCTCAAACATTGTCCAGAGTGAAGGTCGCTAGCGAACACTTGCTGGGTGCGTATTGACTCCGAGATCACGCGACACCCGCACACCGGGCGTCTTACCAATCAGACCAACTCCAAGATATGACTGAATGGCGATAAAAGTCTAATGTTAGTTTTTTTTGCGTGATTGTGTTGATAAGCTCACTACCCACCTAGTGTTAAGTGGTTACTGGAGCTAATAGACATCTACAACGTAAATGCACCACAAACGTTGACATATAAGTTCTAAAGTCTCAAGTATAGTTACAACGGCTGCCCCACCCTTTAAACCGAAACGCATTACTGCTTCACGGCAGAAATAAGCAGGGTAGTGGTACCTACCCATGCCGACTCACAACACGTCCTACCACCAGTAATTACGCAAATTATAATTTAACAACATTCTCCGAGATCCTTCGATTTCACTAAACATCGGTTGATTATCCGGTTGTGACGTCACAGACCGGCTGCCGCCCGGACCTGGCCCAGCTGGTGCGGCGCGCGCCGGTCCGGGCCGAGCCGCGCCGGGACGAGCCCGTGATCCCGTGCGAGTTCTGCACGGAGTCGCTGCCGGTCTACCTCATCAGCGAACATCAGGTAACACAAAAGCTCGGGATGAAGTCGTCGTGGCCTAAAGGATAAGACGTCCGGTACTTTCGTACCTAGCGATGCAACGGTGTTCGAATCCCGCAGGCGGGTACCAATTTTTCTAGTGAAATACGTACTTAACAAATGTTCACGATTGACTTCCACGGTGAAGGAATAACATCGTGTAATAAAAATGAAACCCGCAAAATTATAATTTGCGTAATTACTGGTGATAGGACCTCTTGTGAATCCGCACGGGTAGGTACCACCGCCCCGCCTATTTCTGCCGTGAAGCAGTATGGGACCATGAGATTTTTTTATTTTTTCATTTTTTATTGCTTAAATGGGTGGACGAACTCACAGTCCACCTGGTGTTAAGTGTTTATTGGAGCCCATAGACATCTACAACGTAAATGCGCCACCCACCTTGAGATATAAGTTATAGATGAGATATAAGGTCTCAGTATAGTTTCTTATAGTTTAGTCTCATATTCTGTTCGTGTGCTTGTATGCATTAACAACTGTCCAATCGCACGATTGCTTTGCGGCAAAGAATGGGCAGGTCGGTGGTCACTCGCCGCGCTGTTCCAACTGTCATACAAATTTGAGTTAACTTTTACGCTATCGAGAACGTTAAAAAACTCATTAAGTACACTGGTTCATAATGCACTAGCAAACTACATTAAAATATATTCACCGTGGAAGTCAATTGTGAACATAAATAGTATTTCATTAGAACAATGTATGCCTTATGGTTTCGCTCGCCATTAGGCCATGGACGACGAACTTAAACCGATAAATCTAGGAATACATAATCAAATTTAAAAACAAAACGACGTATTGATGTTTCCAGGAGCGCTGCGGCCGCGACGCCGACCTCATGTACCCGGACTAGTCACCGCGCAATGTACTGCGAACACTTCTAGTCTTCCCTTGTCTATGGTCAATGTTTGTCCTTCGAGCCGCCCCGCTCTGGCTGTGTACAGTCGCCAAGCAAACACTTAGTTCGTACTAAACTTGAAGACGCTTCAGAATAGAAGTCCAGTAGGAAAAAAAAACATCTTAAAATAGCAGCCTTCAAAAATGTCAATATTTTGTTTGTAGTACATTGCGTGTCGTTGATGCGAGTGAATTCTTGTACGTTTGTTCAAATCAAATCAAATCATTGACGTGCTTGAGCTGCGTTACGAAAAATCACGGCTGTAATAGTATACGATGGTAAGCGAACAAAACGACAGCACAGACATATACATATATAATAATATGTCATGTGTTATATATAATAATATGTAATATGTAACATGTTATAATAATTAAAAGGAGCTGAGGTATATAAACTTTTCTCTCTCTATATTTTGTTATATATGCGGATCGAATTTGAAACTAGTTTTAGGCTTTTTACTAAACACGAAAATTGCCATATCGGAAAAATATAATCTATAATAGTTTTTCTAAGTGTTGCCAACAAAAATATCAGTTCGGTTATATTTCAACATTCGGAACAAACTTATATTTTCCGCCTGATCGAGATGTAAATCCGGGAATACTGATTATAAAATGGATTCTTTAGAAAAATATCCTGCAATCGGTATAGACTAATTATAATTACACGGACGCGCGGTCTGTTGGGTATCCCGGAACATCATCAGAAATAAATATGATATCTATTCCCGGATCACTGATTGTTACAACGCGAGCAAATAATCTGTGTAAGGAAAAATATATTCAAATTGTTGATTCTGTTCTGAATGGTCTTGAAGGCTAAGTTCCTAAGTTCCTTATACAGAACCCTCACCCGTCCCTCTTGGCTGATCCGACGAGGTCACGCGAGCGAAAAGGACAAAGTAGTTTCGTTCTTTCGCCCAATAAATTATCTTCAACGAAGCTCAAAATACATTAATTGTTTAGTGGGTAAGTATCGTTCATCCTTGTGCCGAACTCGCAGTCATTTTAAATATAAATCATACATAGCTAGAGTTTTATATAACTGTTAGCAATATGTCGTGGGATAAACTGTTTAAATAAATAGAGATCTGAATTTATAGTTTCTGAGTACTGAGCGTCCGTGAGCCTCGAGTGCGCTGGCGCAAACGATGAGATACTTTCTGGGTCATTTATCTATTGAATATAATGTTTGAAACTTATTCAAGTCGAAGTTGACTCAATCTAGTTATGGCGCTCCGATGATCCGAGGTACAGATAATCTACAAAATTTAATTGACTTATCAACACAATAGTTACTTAATTCATCTAAAAATTAACTTTTTCGCTACATTTGTAAATAGGTACTTATACGTTTTTTTTTCTCTTCTAAATACTACTCCGTATTCCAATCATTTTCAAAATAATTATTAGCACCTAAGAATTTTAATTTGCAATTGAATACTAAAAATTTGTTGCCCAAAGACAAATATATTTTTGGAAAACAAATGGTAAATAAACTTTAGATTTATTGACAGCTAATTTAACCGCGAAAAGACGTCGCCATCTTGATTCTCAAATCGACAATGATGCATTTGTATAGTGCATTTGAAAATGTATAAAATTTAAGTCTGAATAAGTTGAAAACGTAATGGCATATCGGAATAATACAGTGAAAATTGTAATTTTGCAATTGTTAATTACAGGACACGATTTTTTTAATAATTTTATTATTATTTATTTATGTTTATGGAATAAAAATCATAGATTTTTAGATAAAACTCCCTGTTTACATTACAACATAGTATGTCCTTCGAGCTGATCACAGAACTACTTTTCAAATAATTTATGATTTTCCTCAAACAAAAATATGTGGACCGCTAGTCATTTCAAGTCGTCACTGTCGTGTGTGATACGCATTTTTATCAAAATCTGTATTGTCGTATCTCTGTTATTGTTATAGTATTGACATAGGTTCGAAGGGTGGGGTAGCCGTTGTAACTATACTGAGACCTTAGAACTTATATCTCGAGGTGGGTGGCGCATTTACGTTGTAGATGTCTATGGGCTCCAGTAACCACTTAACACCAGGTGGGCTGTGAGCTCGTCCATCTATCTAAGCAATAAAAAAATAAAAAAAATATGTATATACTTCAATGGTTTAAAACTAAATAAATTAAATGGCCAATAATGAATTGAGAGAAATAGTCTCAGCGTCATCAGTGATGATCAGTGTGCTTAGTGCGAGGTTTTTAACGTTTTCGATAGCGTAAAAATTAACTCGAACTCGAGTTAACTTTTACGCTATCGAGAACGTTAAAAAAACTCTCACTAAGCACACTGGTATTAAGTTTTACCGGGGCCCATAGACATCAGAACGTGAATGCCGTCGCTCATCTTGAGACATGAGACTGAAGTCTCAAATATATATTTACGTTTATACTGTCTTGTTCTTTAAAACAGAACTCGTCATTGCTTCATGGCGTTAGTACAATACAAGCATCTGCAATAATTATCAACGGTAATTCCGAAAATTTTATATTTAATATTCTGTTATCTGCTTTTTTTCTGCATATTTCGAACAATTGTCTCTTTGGTATGACAGTGACGAACTGTTGAAAAGTTTAGCGTCTGTTTTAAATAAATCTCTAATAATATGAATCTATAATTCTATATAAATTAAATCATAAATCTAAATAAAATAGTGAGTTTAGTCTAGTATTTATATTTCGCGTATAAATGGAATCTTCATCATTTAGATCTGTGTAATATCATTTAGATTGTAAGCTGTAGGTGTTTTTATTCGTAAAACGACTGATTTTGTATTGGAGCATTATTGGACAACATCCAACTAGACATCACAGATTGAATTCAATACTCGCGTGTATTCATACTGTTTTTTTTTACCTACCTATTCTGATAGCCTTGAGAGGCTATTTCAGCTTCTTAACGTGTAGGTGAGCTCACGGGGCTCAAACGGAAGTGTTGCTAACACTGGTCCTAGCAAGAGCAGTGCAGAATCTACCACTGGATCGGAAACGCGACCCACTGAGAAGATCTGGTTAATTTACTCGTCGAGCCCTTCGTCGCAAGCGACGGGTTCGACGAGAACGGTGACCGGTGCTTGAGGTACCTAAAAGCACCGTTAATGGATCGGGAGGATCCGTAATGACGTGTTTAGGGCGAAGTCTTCAGGTTTGAGCCCTGTGAGCTCACCTACTAGTTAAGGTCGCTGAAATAGTATCTCAAGGCTCTCAGCTTAGGTACGAAAAAAAAAAGGGGGAAGTCGACTGTTTACCATTCGGTCCACAGAACCGGGTATGTAAGCCGGACCGGACGCGCGTGTCTATTGAGTTACATCGACGCAAACTAGCGGATATTTGTCGGATCATGGATCCCCAGCTAATGTTCGCGTTATACAAAGAGATAAATCACCTTGTGCGGTTAAGTATCGAGATGATCTCGTGCGCCTGTGCTTAATAATTAATGGTTATCGATGTATGTAGTATGTGCGTAACAATAATGTATCAATATAAAATTTAAAACTAATATTGATGTATATTCGTAACATGTGATAATTGTATAATGGATCATAGATTAAATAAAAATTTTGTAACCCTTTTATATTTGGTTTTATTTTTAAATTAATTATTATAACTTTGAATTAATTTTGAAGTTATTCCGAAGCTTATATCTATTCTATCAGCCCACACACGTCCACTGCTGTATAGGCCTCATTCAAGCCTCCAAGCTCGAAGCCTTTGCTTGCATACAGCGGATCCCCGTGAACCTCAATAGGTCGTCGGTCTATCTTGTAGGAGGCCTACCCACGTTATGTTTTCCAGTAATACCGCTTAATACTAATTACCTCTGCTGCTGATGGGCAATCATATCAGACGCACATTGAAATTCTTTAAGATGTGCTCCTTAATTGTTTTGTCATCGTACCACGGACCGCTAAAATATTATTTAATTTAATACTTGCAAATACCAGAAGTCGTCGTGACGTGGCTGTGTCTATGGGTTAATTTACTCGCCGAGCTCTTCGACGGGTTCGATGACCGGTGCTTGGGGTGCCTAAAAGCACTGTTAGTGGATCGGTACCGCCATCTTTCCTTTTCTACCACCAATGAGACTTCGACGCCGGGTCTCACAATAAACATTTATAGTGGGACGTGGGCTTACTTGTTTATCGACAACAATAAGTGTAGACTATATGTTCCTTTTAGTCGATTGCAGTTGTTTCTTTACTCATAGAGAAGACAGTATCATCGACGATTAGACGAAGGAAAATACCAGTTAACAAATTAAACTTTATTTTTTACACAGAAAACTTTATTGCACACTTTATTTAACTTATATACTAGAACATCTATGAAAATTAAAATCTTACGGTACCGTTGATTGGGATTTTAGAGTTAGACTATTCTTATTTCCGCACTGTCGGTCGTATAAACCACGGTATAGATAAATAACCTTATTTATCTATTCCGTGGTATAAACTACAATAGATACATGACATACTTAAACTACAACACAGTAAGCAACCGGACACTAAAAATAAGACTAAAAATTCGTTGTATTGAATTTGAAATGAGTACGATCAGAATTTACAAAACAGTAGTGTCGAGGGGTGAAAGGCTTTTGCTGTAAGCGACATTTTGCTTAGCACGCGACATTTATCTTTGACTGATACTGATTTCTTTCACCATTAGCTAGCACTCATAGCGTAGATTAATATTATTAATACGTTTTAAACACAGATTCATGCTCATTTCAAATTTCCGGAACAAATATCGTAATAAATATGAAGTTCCGGTATTTTGAAGGCATATCCATAGATAATATGGACTCTACGTTTGACGTCAACGACCTTAAATCAATCTATCTACTCCGACCTCTAGTTATCATAGACGTCTGAATGCAGATAAAACATTTACCATTTCTGACCCCGGACGGAGATCGGACGTCGGGTGTAAGAGTGCAGGGGAGTCGTTTAGTGGGTGGGCCCTAAAATCCTTGGGCCCGCGATCTGCTCTCAACACCTGCAGATCGTTGAAGGTATTTTTCGTGGTACGTAAATAAAAGGTCATTTATAAACGAGATCGGTGGGCGATGTTTTATTTTCATAATAAATTAGAAACAACACAAAAATTGTTCTTCAGGGCACCTAGGCACGCTTATCTGAAGCTTAGGGCAGTTCCAGATCTTTTCGCATCTGCATCTCGATCTGAACCGCCTCTTGCCGGACGTTTCGATGTGATTTGTAGTTCTGCCGCCGAACTTCGACAGAGCCACGAATTTGGACACGTGCTTCACTGGTTCCACGTCTATAAGGTCAACGTATTTCTCAGTTATATCCGATTGTGCTAAGGTCGTTTCGTAGTCGGCCGTTGTTAAGTCGTGTTCCTCTTTAACTCTCCTGTCAGTCTGGTTTGATTGTGCCCCTCGACTGTCAACGTCAGATTTGAAGTCTGTCACGGTGACAGCCGCGGTAGTTTCTGCCGGAATCGACGCGGCCGTGGTCGACTGCGAGATGCTGACGTTATTGATGCTCGCATTACCCGGTATCGTTAACGGCAAGTTTTCGATCCTCGATTCTGTCGGTTGAAGGTCTGATTGTTTGATGACCGGCTGGAGTTTGAAGTATGTTATGTCAGCTTTGCTCTGCGGCGCTGGTGTTGCCGACGTCAAACATAATAGTGGTAGCAAGTATCTGGAAATGGAATTTGATTTAAGTCAAATTAATGAATTAGTATTTTTTATTATTATAGATAAACTGGTGGTAGGACCACGCGTGAGTCCGTACGGGTAGGTACCACCACCTCGCCTATTTCTGCGGTGAAGCAGTAATGTCATTCGGTTTGAAAGGTGGGGCAGCCGTTGTAATTATACTGAGACCATACAACTCATATCTCAAGGTGGGTGGCGGCGGCACGTTGTAGAAGTCTATGGGATCCAGTAACCACGTAACACCAGGTGGGCCTTGAGTTCGTCCACCTATCTAAGCTATAAAATAAAAATAAAAAAAGGTTGTGGGCGTATTGTAAAACTAGAGCTAGGAGCCGCTACCCCAAACTATATCTGTCGCGAGCCATATAGGTACCTACGGTACGACTGAAAAGCCATTATAAAATTCAACTTCATCTCTCAAAATGAGTGGCCTTCGTAATGTGTAGTCTATGTTCTTCAGCGGCTGCTCCATAATACGCTATAAGCTCATCTTCTGAGATTCTTAATGAATTATGTATTAAATTGGAAATTTTCCACGATTTTTATGATGTTTATAGTATAATATAATATGCGCAAGCACCAAGCATTAGTGAAATGAAACTATTTAGAGTGATCAAGAATCAACCTATTTGCGTTCCTAGAAAAGTTTTCAAAACGCACAATTACGCAAAAAATATATCCAATATTGGTTTTCCTAAAGATACTATTGCTTTTTATTCTGTATACCAGTGCTCGTCCAACGGTAGAAGTTCTAAAGAAGTCTAACAACTCAGGCCTGTATTCATTTTATGTACGGGTAGCCCTCCTATACGGATTTTACAACACGATTCCACTCTAACACGAAAAGAAAAATCCCCCAAAACCTTATTATAACACGGTACTTCTACAACACGATAGCACGATTTTTGTATAAAATTATTTAGAAAATTCCATTATGCAGCATGAACACACAATATATGGGAATAGCCGTTAATTTTCTGCTTATTTTTATGTATAATAGGTAAAAAAATATTATACGTATAGGCATAGTTGAGCTGTTTCATTCAGAAAAATTAACTCTCCTTTTTTTACAGGCTACTTCTAGTCACATATAACACGGCTCCGCACAACTTGAACCGCACGCTTTGAAGTCGTCGTGGCCTAACGGATAAGACGTCCGGTGCATTCGTGTTGGGCGATGCATCGGTGTTCGAATCCCGCAGGCGGGTACCAATTTTTCTAATGAAATACGTACTCAACAAATGTTCACGATTGATTTCCACGGTGAAGGAATAACATCGTGTAATAAAAAAATGAAACCCGCAAAATTATAATTTGCGTAATTACTGGTGGTAGGACCTCTTGTGAGTCCGTACGGGTAGGTACCACCGCCCTGCCTATTTCTGCCGTGAAGCAGTAATGCGTTTCGGTTTGAAGGGTGGGGCAGCCGTTGTAACTATAATTGAGACCTTAGAACTAATATCTCAAGGTGGGTGGCGCATTTACGTTGTAGATGTCTATGGGCTCCAGTAACCACTTAACACCAGGTGGGCTGTGAGCTCGTCCACTCATGTAAGCAATAAAAAAAAAAAAAACAATACAGGACTTTGTTGGAACGTATCTACCGTGTTATAGGAAGATTATCTGTATTTTCTTTTTTCCTATTATTGAATTTTTTTCTTGCAAAGGTCGAAAAACGAAAAGCCTTTAAAAAATTATAGTTCGCTATTCCCGACAAAAAAAACAACATAAAATTGACGAGAATTTCTCGTTCCAAAACTTTAGTGCCTTTGCTTATTTATATACAAAAATATATAATATCATATCACAGTATATCGTATCGTACCAACGTATGTGATTGTATGATTCCCGTATCGATTATCAATCAATAAATACACAGTTACGTAATACAATGAACCCGATTTTTAATAAATAAACATCAAATTTACATGTTTCCTATATCCTACGAAGACAAGTTTTTACTTTACAAACCAGTTCCGCGGTTTAACGACACCAAAGTAATTTGAAAAAATATTGAATACATATAAATTCTAGTTTTGTTTTTAAAAAATGTTATTGGAAAATGTTCATCGGAGTCTTTGACCCCATTTGTTTATGTCGAGCTATTTTGTAATCAGGTTATCGACCTATTAAAAATGTGAGAGATTAATAATGCCTTTTTTTATCTATAATATATTTTTTGGCGTAACGGTATTATTATTGACGTCCGGTAACATTAGGAATGTGACCATTAAGTTTTTTTTTTCTATTTTTTTAATACCATTAAGTAGTTTTTTTTTACTTTTTTTAACATTAAGTTTTTTTAACTTTTTTTTTTATTGCCTTTGTTGGCAGACGAGCTTACGGCCCACCTGATGGTGAGTGGTTACCGTCGCTCATGGACTTCAGCAATGCCAAGGGCAGAGCCAAGCCGCTGCCTACCGCTTAATACTCTCCACAAGCCTCGTTTGAAGAAGGACATGTCATAGGGCTCGGGAAACACCGTGGAGGGGAGCTCATTCCATAGCCGGATGGTACGTGGCAAAAAAGATCACTGGAAACGCACTGTGGATGACCGCAGTGGCTCCAGGTAGTATGGATGAACTCTACTCCGGTGGCGGGCGGTGCGATGGTAAAAACGAGACGTTGGTATCATCTCGAACAATTCCTCAGAGCACTCCCCATGGAACTTGCGGTACAAAATACACAGGGAACCGAAGTCCCTCCGCAGACCCAGAGGCTAACTTTACGCTAAGCCGCGTCTACTCGTAATGAGCGATGCGACACCATCGGGTATTCAAATCCCGCGAGCAGGTACCAATAATTATAAGAGAAGCTAATTTATTTCCTACCTTTTTTATGGCTCTTGTAGGCAGACGAACATATGGCCCACCTGATGGTGAGTGATTACTGTCACCTATAGTCGTCAGCAATGCCAGGGGCAGAGCTAAGCCTATGAAATCTTCTGCTTGTAACCTCGAGGGGTTATACTAATTATATTATACTTATAAAAAAAGCTTTACCGAATGGGTAGGCGAGCTCACGGGGCTCAGCCTGGGAGAGGTAACGGATTAACACACTTTTTTTAATTCTACCTATGCTGAGGGTTATATCAGCGTTACCCTAGCGTGTAGGTGAGCTCTCGGGGCTCACACCGGAGGTGTTGCTAATACTGGCCCTAGCAAGAGCAGTGCTTCGCTGAATCTACCACCGGATCGGAAACGCGACCCATTAAGAAGATCCGGCGAGAAACTCAATGGGCTGTGTCTGTGGGTTAAGTACCACACGCTCACCGATGACTTCAACGGAGAAGGAACAATATTTTGGAATTAAAATGAAACCTTAACAAATATAATTACTAATTAGTATCTTGTGAACCCTCACGGGTAGGTACCACCACCCCGCCTGTTTCCGTCGTGGAGCAGTAACGCGTTCAGGGTTGAAGGATGGGGTAGCAGTGATAGTTATGTCCATGGACTCCAATGACAATACAACCAGAGGAGATAAGTTTGCGGTCACCCATCTTAGATATTTTTTGCAGAATGCTTTAAAATTATATAGTTATTATAATAATAGTTAAATATATGTCATCGTAATCTTGTTTACTTACTAAAAGCGACCTTGTTCTAATGTAAGCTAGGATTCCGTTGTTGACCAATTTGTAAAGGTCACATTCAAACATCTACTAATAGGAGACGACCAAATTACAGGTACTAATTATTTTCATTGTGGTAAATAAGTAGATTCTTAAGGTTACCATTAAAAAAAATATGGTAATTCTATGACAATGTAAAAAAAAACACTAAGTCATCATTAGTCGTCATTAGTTAACTAATAAAGACAATGTTGGACATCCTTGGTAGGTAAGTACGTAAGCGCAATAATAATAAAAATATACGCCTAGAATTCAGAACCTCCTGTTTTTATTTGAAGTTGCTTAAAAATATGTAAGACGTGCAATTTTTACAAATTTAAACTCGGAATAAAATAATGTAGAAGTCAACCTTCCTTCTTTCAACCTTCATACAATTACTATTGGAAGTACATATTTATTTTTTTAAATCATTCATAAGTGTTTGCGAACCCTGTAAAACTGGTGAAATGATATCTGCGCCGGCTTGATTGTGTCAAACGCAACGTATGTCTTTAGTGGAAGCAAAACCGCTATATTAACGATCGATGGTCCCGGATATGGTGCATAGGCTGATATGTGTGAACTCCAAGCAAACTGCCTAAAAAATTTTTTTAATTCCTATTCGGTGCTCCTATTCCTATTAGCTGGTGGTAGCTATTCCAGCTACACTTGGATGGGAACTGCCTAACCAAAATGTAGCTTAGGTTCTTTTTTTTTATTGCATAGTTGGGTGGACGAGCTCACAGCCCACCTGGTGTTAAGTGGTTACTGGACCCCATAGAAATCCACAACGTAAATGCGCCACCCACCTTGAGATATAAGTTCTAAGGTCTCAAATATAGTTACAACGGCTGCCCCACCCTTCAAACCGAAACGCATTACTGCTTCACGGCAGAAATAGGTAGGGTGGTGGTACCCACCCGCGCGGACTCACAAGAGGTCCTACCACCAGCATTCTAACATATTTAAATCCACCAGCTTAAACCACCAGTCTCTCTGCATTTAAGTATTCTGCATTGTAAGTGTTCTTATCTAAGGAATTGTTTGAGATTATCTTTTTTCCCCTACCAATTCACTGGTAGCCTAAGGGCCTATTCTAGCTACGTTCAAACGGGTAGGTTAATTATGTAGCTCAACTTGAGAGAATTTCTAACACTAGCCCTAGCAAGAGCAGTGCTTCGCTGAATCTGCTACCGGATCGGAATCGCGACCCACTGAGAAGATCCGGCGAGAAACTCAGTAGGTTGTGTCTAAGGGCATAGTTCGCATGTCGAACGCTTTTTTGACCAAGGACAGCTAATTTGTTATTCTTCGACATTAATATTCATTGTAAATTTATTATATTAATAAGTATATTCTCGTCTAAACGA